TTCAGTGTCCTAAATCACTTCAAAATGTTTACTTCTCATGGTTGCTTTTGTTTTTGGTACCTGGAATTGAAATTCAGGACCTTGCACTTGCCAGGCAGGCACGGCGCTGCTGAGCCATCTTCCCAGCCCTTTGTGGTCCTTCTGATTTGGGGGAATAACCAGAAGTCATGTGATGCCAGACACATGAGTGGGGGGCACAGGGACATCCCATAATGTCCTCGCAAGTCCTCCTTCCCATTGGCTGGCACTTGGCCACCACATTTACCGTATTTTTCTATCACACCTCCTAAAGACACATAAAAGGACTTCTAGAACTGCATTGGAAGATAGCAAGAACAAAGAGCTCATCTAATTTTGCAGTGAGGGGTAACGTTCTGAGGGGAATCCATGGCAATGAGTTTTTTCCTGTAATTAATTTTTTTAATATAAATATCTCCTGTGTGTTTTGATCACTCCTTCATGTGCCGCCTGCGTGTCAATTCTCATCATGCCATTTCATATTGAAAATGAAACAAAAATTTTAAGCACAAGTTGTCTTAGTAAGACTCCATGTAACCTCCTTGCCCTGCCCTTTTCTCCCCATAGTTATATCAGCAAGGTGGATGTGCTAAACATTTTAGTTGCAGCTGCCTACCGCCACGTGCCATCCCTAGATCAGATCTTGCAGCCTGCTTCAGTCACCAGGCTGAGGAACCAGCTTCTGGAAGCTGAGTACTACCACCTGGGAGTCGAGGTACTTCTACCCCACTGTAGTGAGGTGCCTTTGCTTAGCCACACAAATAGGTCTTGCCAAATCGCTGTTGTCCTGACCACGGGGAAGTACTGAGGGCATGACCAGTTTGACAGCATGGGAATGGAGGGCGGGTGAGGTAGCCAGGAGATGGGAATGGAATTAGTCTTTGGGAGACTCAGGCTGCATGGTGGGAACTCGCACTAAAAGGAGTCATCTTTCTCCCAGGTCTCCACAAAGACTGGGCTTGATTCCACTGGGGCGTGGCATGCTTGGGGCATGGCCTGCCTGAAAGCGGGGAACCTCACCGCAGCCCGGGAGAAGTTCAGTCGCTGTCTGAAGCCCCCCTTGGACCCCAACCAGCTGAGTCATGGCTCAAGGCTGGTACAGGATGTAGTTGAATACCTGGAGTCCACAGTGAGGCCCCTCATTTCCTTGGTAAGAGCAGAGTGGGCAGAGTGCCCGGCTGCAGGAGGGAAGCGCAGGGACACGCAGGCCCCGGGGAAGGGGATTGCCTTCAATTCACCTGACAGTGCCAGGCTGCTAGCTTGTGATTTTTCCTTTTTCCCATTGTATATAGTAGATAAGTAATTATGTATGGTTAGATAAGAAATAAAGATCTCTTCATTTTAGAAAAAATAACCAAAATACAGAAAAGCTTATTTTTTTAAAATGTATTTGTGATCTCAGACTCAAACTAGTTCTCTAGAGCCAGGCATGGTGGTGCTTGTCTGTAGTCAAAGATACTCAGGAGTTTGAGGCAGAATTTAAGACCAACCTGAGCAACGTAGCAAGACGCTATCTCAAAAACAGAAAAGATGTTGGTAAATTTTGTGTTTGTTTGTAATAGGGATTGAATTTAAGGCCTTCATACTAAACTACTTCCCAGCTCCTTTTCTTTTTACTTTGAGACAGTGTCTCACTAAGTTGTCTAAGCTGGGATTGAATTTGTGACCCTCCTGCCTCAACCTCTCAAAGTGCTAGACTTACGTTCATGCATCACCATGCCCAGTATTATGTAGAATTTTGTATTCATTTATTTTTCTACTCTTAAAACGAATGTGAGCATTTTACCACACTGTTAAATATCCTTTGGAAGTGTTACTCACTGGCTGCTAAGGACTTGTTGATCTCCATTTTTCTTTCTCTCCTTTTCTGTCAGCAAGACGATGATTACTTCGCCACCTTGAGGGAACTGGAAGCCACCCTTCGGACCCAGAGCCTCTCCCTCGAGGTCATTCCTGAGGGGAAGCTCATGAACAACACCTACTACCAAGAATGCCTGTTCTACCTGCACAACTATAGCACCAACCTGGCCATCATTGGCTTCTACATGAGGCACAGCTGCCTCCGGGAGGCCCTGCTGCACCTCCTCAACAAGGTGGGACCACAAAGGACAGTGCCTGCCTACCCCCATCGCTTGGATCCCCTTAGACTTAAAGCAGTGTCAAACACTGAGGTCAGCGCTGTCAGAGTCAGCTGACAGGGAAGGCTGCCAACATAACTGTTGTGCAATGAGTGTGTCACAACGCTTCAGCTGAAATCCCAAATCACTGTCCTGATTGGCAGTGGCTAATTCAGTCCCTTTGCCCGACACATGTAGCAGAGTCAGAGCATGATCTCTAGACTGAGATGCCTAGTGCGAGTCATGGGTGCCTCAGGCACACTGCAGGCTGTCCCAGACTCCTCCCACCTGGCCTGCAATGTGTCTACTCAGAGTTGTCCCCCACGGCAGGTCGTGTACAGCGTGAAAGGCCAGTGTGCTGTGCTCGCTCTGTATTCCCCTCCTCTGCCTCCTCCCACTGGAGGCAAAGGTGCTGCTGAAGTATAGAATTTCTTTGGCCCCACTGATAAGCAATCAGACTCCATTTCACCGCGGCCATTTGGCTTTCCGTCTGTACCTGAATATTTCATAAGTGAGAAATGGGCTACTCAGCAAATTTCATGGAAAATTAATGGAGTTCAACGTAAGTGTTAGTGTCATTTGGCTGCCCTCAATCAGACAGCAGCCAGTGAATGTTCACAAATAGACCTGTCTTGTAGGATTGCTCTATGTGAAATCAGCAGTCCACAGAACGTTAGTATCAGCCCTCTTCGGGACTGAGGTTAGGAGATGTTTTCATCGTGGCTTAGCTACTAGTCATGTCTCAAGAGTCACGGAGAAGTCTTGTTATTTGGAACGTAACTGATTTTTCCCTTTTTCTGTTTCCAAATGAGTTGAAAGGTAAAGATGCTTCTTCTAAGTATGACTTGAGAGTGGAAATCATCCAGTCCTGTTCCCCTGGGCAACCGTAGTCCAAAGAGTTAAGCTGCTTACCTAATCGTCTTAGTGGGCGCTGACGACAGCACTAGTCCTATTTCATATTTCTAAGAGCTAGGAAGCAGCCGTCTTTTTATCGGCCGTAATCACAGTTACCCTTGATTCTTATTGAACCTTACCTTTGTTCTCAAGCAGGTAAGGACTCAGAAAAATACATCGCCAAAGTACAGTCTGAGTGTATAGGGTACTGGAGGTGATCTCATTCTAGCCTGTTCCCTGTCTCTACTTTCCCGTGGCCCATGCTGCCTGCTCATGTTAACTTCCTAAAGCATTAACACTTGGTGTTATCCTCCTTCCTAGAAGGCTTTCAGTAGATTCCCACTCCACATGACGAAGTCCAAGTTGTTTAACATGCTGCTCCTGGACCTCCCAGGACCAAGCTCCCATATTCTACTTCTCCATAAATCCTGTCTCTCCCCCACATTCCAGACTCATTGAATTACCTAAATATTCCTGATTGCATCACACGCTAGATTATCTCCATCTAAACTAGGCATTAACAGAATAGAGGCAGGCCTGGAATGTTGGTAGACAAGGAGGAGATGATAGCCGTAATCCAGGCAGATGGTGGTAATGGCTTGGGTCCGAGTGGTACAAGGGAGGCAGTGAGAAGTAGCTGGCATCTAGGTGTACTTTGGCAGTAGAGACAGTAGGACTTGCTGATGAATTTGATGTTTGTGTGGGGGGAGACACAGGATTCAAAGGTCTTTGGCTTGAACAACCACAAGAATGATATTACTGTCTGAGAGAAGGAAGGCTGGAAGGAACAGGTTTTAAGAAACAATGAGAAACACAGGTTTTGATGTGGTAAAGTCCAAGACTTGTGGAGGGGGCCCTGGGCTCTCAGTTGGGGGTGCAGCTCTGAAGTTCGGGGGATAAGCAAGCTGGGCTAGGGATTGAAGCATCACCAGCGCACAGATAGTACTTCAAGCATGAGACTAGACGAAGCCACCAAGAGAAAGTGCGTAGATAGAAAAGAGAACAGTTTTCTCCTTGGGAGGAATCAGCAGAAGAAATTGAGAGGTAGTGACCAGAGGCATAAAAAGAGTTTAGAGAGCTGGTATCCGAGAGGCCAAAAAGAATTTTTAAAAGTTTTTCTTAATTAAAATTAAATTTTAAGCTGGGTGTGGTAATTTATTCCTATAATCCCAGCAACTGGGGAGCGCTGGCAGAAAGATGGCAAGTGCAAAGACAGTCTGGAAAGACTGTCTCAAAAAAGTATAGGTCTGAGTATGTACCTTGGCACTCCCTGGGTTCAATCCCTGATAACAGAATATTAATTATTAATTAATTGAAATAAAAGCTGAAGAGTTCCCAAGGAGGAAGAAGCTATCTTCTGTATTAAAAGCTGCTGGAGGTATAGGTCAGTGGTAGAGAGCATGCCCAGTAGTACACTCTAGGTTCTGTCGCCAGCATGAGGGGGCTGGGGGCAGGGACCACACAGCTGCTCATAGAGCAAGTGGAAAGGGAGACCAGGAATTAACTGTTGGAATTCAGTTAACATTTTCTAGGGGTCCCAATTGGCCTACGTCACAGTTTCATCCGAGTTTGGACCCAAAAGATCGAGCAGAGTGGGTTTAAGAGAAAACCCCAAGAAAGAAAGTAGAGACTGGGAGTGTAGGAAACTCTTGTCAGGAGGCTTTTCCGTAGCAGGAAGAGGAGGAACAGTCACTCAGAGTGCAATGTCAGAGGCTTCTATGTAAAAGCACTACCCTAGGAAGAAGCTGCAGGAGCGGGAGTGGGTGGGAATTCAGAGTGGATCTCAGGCTGTGCCCTCGCCAGGCCCCAGACCTCTGACGTCTCACCTTACCCTGCCCCAGGACAGTCCTCCAGAAGTCTTCATAGAAGGGGTTTTCCAGCCAAGCTACAAAAGTGGAAAGCTGCATACTTTGGAGAACTTGTTGGAATCCATCGATCCAACCCTGGAGACCTGGGGAACATACCTGATTGCTGCCTGCCAACATTTACAGAAGAAGAACTACTACCACATTCTGTACGAGCTGCAGCAGTTCATGAAGGTAAAGCAGCCCATCCTCCCCTCTGTAGCTGCAGCCCTGCCAGACAGGGCAGGCTGTGCGAGAGGAGGGACCAGCACTGTTCCTCGATCCCTGTCCTTGCTATCTGACCCTAGAGCAGATCCTTCTTGTTTTCCAGCATTTTTAAATAACTCTAGGGTTTCACCATAACCTCTGAGGCAAAGTTTAATCTTGTGTGTCTTGCATTCCTTGGAAGTCAAAGGTACAAACGACACAGGACTCAAAAGGTATAATGGTGTATTTAGAGAAAATGTGCAAGGGAGCATGGAATGCGTTTCTCCTATTCTGTCTGAGACTTGCCAATACTGAATCATGGAGAAACTGAATCATTCAAGTTTGTTAAGCATCAGCCCCTGTGAATAGAGAATCAGAAATGTCCTCTTTTGAAAAAAGAAAAAAAAAT